TCCCAAACTCCTGGGATTACAGGCATGCATCACCACACCTGGCTCCAGCTTTTGCTGTAGTGACCAACTCCAGGAGGAAATCTTCACCCAGAATGAATATCTCCCAAGGAGAGACTCGCAGACGGGCACAGAAAGTCAAGGGATGTGAACCTGTTAAAAGGCCATTCCAGGTAAAGACAGCGATGGAAAGTAACCACTAGTAAGTACTGAGAGCTGAGCCGGGCACTTTACCAACATGGTCACCTTTATTCCTCACCACTGCTTCCTCCCACCCCTGTGGCCCCTGACCATCTCTACTCTAGGTGGCTGATTATGAGGTAAGAACTAGAGTCGACTAGCCAGGTGGCTCTGCTCTGCCTAACACAAAAAGTGTCCTTCAAAGGAGCTCCTTTCTGAGAATATGAACACTTCCTGGAAAACTGCAAACCAGGAAAAAACTGGGCTTGGGTAGCAAACTGGACACCACCCAACGGTGTTATAGCTGGTCTTCCCAGGCACCAGAGGCTTTCTCCACTCTAGGAGCTCAGCAAAGGAAAGAAAGGAAAAGACAAACAAAAAGACAGCCCAGGGCAAATATGAGGTAGCAAGACATCTTTGAACTTTTCCATTGACAGGGAGCTCACTACCTATGGAGCCACCTATTTTCTAGTTTCCCAGAAAGCCTGGCCAGCAAGTTCCTCTCTCTGTTCAGCATCTTAACTTGGCTACTCCTCAAATTCCAGCAGCCAAGACTTCCTTAAGGCCAGAGGGGGTGCACAGAGCCCAGATCAGAGTAGGTTTATGGGCAGCAGGAATAACTGACGGCAAGAACCTGCATCTCTCCAACATGCTTTTCCCAGGGGACCTCAGGCACCCTGACACTTGTGCACCAGGACTTCATTGGAACATTGTTTGCAGTAACAAAAGAACAGAAAACAACCAGTTTCAATAACTCCGATTGTGTGCAACCAAACACTGCAAAACTTAACTGCCCAAAGGCTACTTTCACTTGAACTCCAAAATATATCACTGGAGCTCATCTAAAGGAAGTCACCCATGACCATAAGATACGTCATGAATTTATGTAGCATTAAGAATCACACACCACCAATTAAACCATGCCATCAATTGTACAAGAGGCTGGATTTCAGAGATGATACACGGTGGGGAAGCTGTGAAATATTTTAAAGGAGAGAGCTTATAAATCATAAGTGTTTTAATAGACACAAAACATTATATATCTAAGAACCTGATAGCAAGACTGGCCTTTATAAACCAGAATAGGGGGTGGGATTCAGGATAAGAGAGAAACCCTGTTTTCATCCTTCGTCTTTTTGTAAAATCTGAAAAATTCAACCACATATTCCCTATTAAAAATAAAATTCTGAAAATATACTGAACGTAAAATAAAAGAGCGCGTCCTCCTGTAATGTAATATTTGGAGCCAGCATTGCAGCTGAAGCCGGGGCATCCAATGCCCCTGCAGCCTCAGGAAAGTTCCCGCTCGGACTGGGTCTTGGTTTCCCTGAGAGTTTAATCGGATGTCGGAAAGCTGGTCTTGCAATATGCCTTTGGCTCCAAGACCCGGGCAGCCGGCGAGGCCACAGCCTGCTGGGGTCCGGGGTCCGGGCTGCAGCCGGCTGACACCCCGCGGTGCAGACCCGGCCAATCAGCGGCCGCGGGGCGGGAGGGGTGGCTGCGCCGCACGCACGAAGCGGAGCGCGAAGCAGAGGCGCCACTGCCGTCTCGGAGCAGGCCATGCTGCGCTTGTCGCCGCTACTCCCGCTGCTGCTTATGCTGCCGCCGCTGGTCCCCAG